TTGCATAAATAAATATGTGGGAGTGAGGGGGAAGCTCTTATGCAGAGAAAAATTCCAATTAATAAATTGAAAGTAATGTAGAAGGAATGTGGGAGACACAAAATCACCACTAGGCAAACACCACAGTAATACTTGTTTCTATGAAGGTCCTCAGATGGATGCCAAAACCAGTGGGTAAGTGTTTGTGGACAGACAGGATATCTGTAGAGCCTCAAAGTCTCTCCCCCAAGATATTTGTCAATTATTAATGGGGAAAATAGTGACTCCAGGGTGGAGAAACCCAGCTGACACCAACTTAATCAACTGAAAAAGGTTGACATTGCCATTAACAAGCAGTATCAAGGGATGCCTGGGTGGCTCTGTGGGTTAAGGGTCTGCCTTCGGCTCAGGTCATGATCCCAGGGTCCTGGGATCGAGCCCTGCATTGGGCTCCTTGCTCAGCAGGGAGCCTGCTTCTCCCTCTCCCACTCCCCCTGCTTGTGTTCCCTCTCTCACTGTATCTCCCTCTGTCAAATGAATAAATAAAATCTTAAAAAACAACAACAACAACAAGCTGTATTGACATCATATACCCACTGGTATGACACTCCGAGGACATATTGCTTCTATGATATTCTGACCAAAAAGTACACGAACTCAATCTTATCATGAGAGAAATCACACAAATCCAAACCAAGGGACATTCATCCAAATAACTGATAGACTCATAAAAAAGTGTCAAGGTCATGAAAGATAAGGCAAGGCTGGGGCACTGTCACAGATTGGAGGAGACTAAGGAGACATGCCAACTAAATACAACGTCTTCTGGGGGCGCCTGGGTGGCTCAGTCAGTTAAGCGGCTGCCTTCAGCTCAGGTCATGATCCCAGGGTCCTAGGATCGAGCCCCACGTCGGGCTCCCTGCTTGGTGGGGAGCCTGCTTCTCCTTCTCCCTCTGTCTGCCTCTCTGCCTACTTGTGCTCTCTAGCTCTCTGTCAAATAAATAAATAAAATCTTAAAAAAAAAAAAATACAACGTCTTCGGGATTGGATCCAAACACAGAAAAAGAATATTGCTAGAAAAACCAGTGAAATTCAAATACTGTCTGTAGTTTAGTTAATTGTAGTGCAACCAACATTAATTTCCTGATTTTGATACATGAATTATGGTTATGTAAATTATTAACACTAAGGGAAGCTGGTTGAAAGGTATATGTGAATTCTCTGTACTATTTCACCACTTTTCTCTAAGTAAAAAGTTAATCAAAATGAAGTTTTTAAAAACGTAATTCTTAATGAGTACACAAGAATAGTAAATGGGATTCACAAACAACCCCTGAGGAAGGAAACTACCTTAAGCACATATACACAGACAGACAGATGCACTCAAGCAAGTCCCAGCTCAAACACCAGACTCCTGCCTCCCAGCATTCTATGAAAGGCATTTCCATAGCAGGACATGCCATCCTTGGGTTCCTGGCTGAACTTGCCATCCTTGTGGGGGTCAGGTGTTGGTTCAGCTGTCCCAGAGAGTATGCCCACTGGGAGATACTGCACAGAGGTGTAAGGCAGAAACAATTTGATAACAGTCCCTCTACCTGTATCATGCCAGGTGGGACGCAGAGAACCTGTTCAGGGCCCCTGGGCTTGACCGTATGGTTGAACTGGGACCATTTCTCCCATGGGCACTGGCCAAGTCAGTGTGGGGCTGGACCTATGCCTTATTCTGTGGGTCCTGGAACTTCTCCAGGGGGAAAGGAACTCAGCCTCCAGCAAGTCTCATCACCCATTATACTGGCTGCAACTTGGACCTTAGCACAGCTCCCAGGATGCCCATGTGTATAGCCAGAGGTGATGAGGTTCTGCCCTACCTCTCCTCACCCACCAGCCGAAGATGCCCATGAGTCTTCCCAACAACTCAGAGAAGCTGTGCACTCTTATGATCCTCATTTTTAAAAATTGTAAAAACAGAAACAAAAAAAACCCCATAACATAAAATTTATCATCTTAATGGTTTTTAAGTATACAGTTCAGTAGAGTTAAATATATTCATATTGTTATACAATCTCCAGAACTCTTCCCATCTTGCAAAACTAAACTCTATACCCATTTACCAATAACTCCCCATTCCCCCCCCTGCTCTAGCCCCTACTAACTACTTCTTTCTGTTTCTATGAGTTTGACTACTCTTCATATCTTGTACAAGCAAAATCACACATTTTTTTGTATTTCTGTGACTGGCTTATTTCACTTAGTATAATGTCCTCAAAGTTCATCTGTATTGTAGAATGTGTCAGAATTTCCTTCCTTTTAAAGGGTGAATAATATTCCATTGTATCTATATGTCACATTTTCTTTATCCATTAATCCACTGATGGACATTTGGGATGCTTTTACCTTTTGGCTGTTGTGTATGATGTTGCTATGAACATAAGTGTACAAATATTTCTTTGAGACCCTGCTTTCAATTTTTGTGTATCTATGCCCGTAAGTGATATTGCTGGATTCAATGGCAATTCTACTCTTAATTTTTTGAGGAACTGCCATACTGTTTTTCATAGTGGCTACACCTTTTTACATTCCTACCAACAGCGCACAGAGGGATTCCCATTTCTCCACATCCTTGCCAACACTTGTTATTTTCTGTATTTTTTTAATAGCAGTCATCCTAACGGATATGAGGTGATATCTCATTGTGGTTTTGATTTACATTTCCTTAATGATTAGTAATGTTGAGCCTGTTTTCATACACTTGTATCCCCTCTTACAGTTAAGGAAACTGAGGCTTTGAGCAGTGATGTAACCTGCTGAAGTGAGCCAAGTGGCTAGGGGTGGGGTCAGAACTGGCCCTCCAGGCTGACTCCAGAACTTCTCCTTGGGCCACCATCTCTTTGGGGAGAGCCACCTTCCCCTACTCACCCTTGTGCTTCTCTCCTCCTTCCTCCCAACACCAGCACCCACACTTTACTCCACAACCCAAAAAAGAAGCAAGGAAGGGAAAGGCTGCTGAAAAAGGCAAACCCTTTTGCATGAGTGTGAGCATGTGATGATATGAGTCCCCAGAGATGCCCCCAGGATGCTATGAGCAGGGCACAACAGGGGGAGCTATGGCCTTGGAGGCCAACAGTTACCCACTCTTCCCCGGAGGTGAATGACACCAGCAAGGAAGGGAAAAGAGACAGATCAAATCAGTTGTCGGGGGGTGCTGTGCCTACTGGGGCCAGCTCCAGTTCAAGCTCTGATGATACTTCCAGGAACTGAGTTGGAGGGAGCTGACCCCCACTATTAGATGCCCCAGGAACAGGCTATGGGCAAGGGATGGGCACACACCAGGAGGCCCAGCTAAGCAATCAATGCCAGAGAATCACGGTCAACTCAGTGCCCAAGGAAGGTGTGGTGCCAATGCTGGGGGGATCCAGAGGTGGTCCACAGGCTGAGCCCATTCTTCACAGGTCCTACAGACTATATAGTCACCACCCCTAGCTGGCCACCAGGCTCTTGCCAAGGAAACTCCTGCGGATTCCTCACTGGTCTTGCTTTTCACAGCAGCTAGGGAGTGAGCCTCTGCCAAATATGGCCATGTTACCCCTTGCTTATAACCTTTATTATTTCCTTATTTCCTCACTGTCCTCAGAATGAAGTCAATTCCTCAACATTCCTACAATGCCCACTGTGAAATGATCTTTGTAGGCATTTCTAGCCACACCTGCCATTCCCTGAACACCAGCTACCTGGATCTATGGGAATTCCATCCACAGAATCTGCCATGTTCTTTGCTTGGACAAGGTCTACTCATATTTTCAGACTCAGGTCAAATTTTATCACTTCTTCTTGGAGTATTTCCTCACCCTGTTATCTCTACAGAGAGGGTAATATGTTGTCCCAGGTCGCACAGCAAGCCAGCCAGAATTTGAATTCAGGCTCCAGAACTCTACTAGTAACCAGGGCTGATGTTAGCCCTCTCTATAACATGGCACTGTGCCCCATGGGCATCTGAACTTTGAGAGCAGGCCCCAAACCTCAGATGTCTACGGCCTAGTGTCCAGCACAAGGCCACTTGTGGTTCTGATGATTGCCACATTACACTGAGGGAAGAGAATTAAGGACTAGCAGGGGTCACACTCAGGTTTTTCTTGGGAGGAACATGGAGTGGGGGAAGGGCCAGAAGCTGGGAGATTCTACCTGCCTGATCTACAGCAGAAAACTAGTCTAGGTATACCCTCCTCAGATGGACCTAACATCTCATGGCCCTTACCAGATGCAAAGCAAGAAGTATAGGGGACGAAGTATGTGTGTAGCCTGACTCCTGAAACTTAGAAAATCTGCCACCGAACCACTAAGGATCCTGAGGGGCTAATGGCATAAGCTGGAACCCCTGTCCACCACTGGATCCTATGCTCAAATGGGTCTGTGTGAGTTGGTCTCTTCATGAGTACATTGGGGCCAAGGTTATGGCTTCTATGGTCCCCTGCACCCAGTCAGCATCAGGAGGCCTTCTGCTCCTTTTCAGAGAAATTGGAGCCTCAAGACAGGACCTCAAGCCTCACCAAAAGGTGGATGGCAGAGCAGTAGACCCCCTGCTGCTTCAGAAGTCTGTGGCCAGGGAACAGGTCAGACCTGCCCATGGCCCACCAGACAGCGAGGTTCTTCCCTGTGTCTGCACTTGGGCTCAGCAGAGATCCACACACCCCTCCTCATGCGGGTAGCAGGAACTTGACTCAGACTGTACCTCTGAGCAGCCTGGGTCGGGCCTCTTGGGGAACAATTTCATCTGTTGCGAAACTCGTAAAGGAAAAGACAGTTGGTGACAACAGTCCCTGCTCCATCCCCTCCATACTAGACAGAACTCATCATGGGAATAAGCCTCACAGAAGTCCTGCTCTTCTGGGTGGCCCGCACGTGTTAGACGCATAACCCAAATTGCTCGCCACTCGGGTTTGACGCGGGGCGGGGAACGCTCATCCAGGGACTGCCAGGGAGTCTCAAGGGGCCTGAAGCAGATGGAGGGTCATTCACACACCCACCTCGGTCACGATGGTGGACAGGTAGATGTCCTGGCTGAACTCCCAGCCATCCACGCAGCCCTCCTGCTCCAGCTGCTCCAGGTCCACATCACGCCCCGGCTCCAGCCCAAGCGCCGAGAAGTTGGCGATCGCCGCGAGCCGGTAGCGCCGGCAGCTGTGAGGCACCTCGCGGCCGTCCTGCAGCCGCAGCGGGACACTGTGGTTGCGCCACGCGCGGCTTAGGTTCGCCGTGTCCGGCACCCGGCAGCGGTGCTCCGGGGTGGCGGCCAGGAACACGACTGACATTCCATTGAAGCCGTTGGGGATGATGCTGGCGCTGAGCAGGAAGAAGATGAGGCGCTGGAAGGGCCCCCAGTCGCCCAGGAAGCTGGTCACCTCGTCGTAGTCCCGCATGCTACTCACCGCTGCTCCGCGGCTGCAACGGTCCTGAGAGCGGTCCTCGGCCAGAGTCGCGTGGTCAAGGGCGTTCCCCGAAGGGCTCAGAACGTTCTCGGCGGCCAGGCAGCCTGCGGGAAACTGGGCCGCGTAAGCTTTCCCAGGAAGCAGGCTGCGGGCGTTGGAACGCGCCCGGGAGCGGGTCGCAAAGCGGGAAGCCACAGTAGGCACTCGGGACCACACCCCCATCCCGGCTGGGGCGGGGAGGGGAGGGGAGGGCGGCCGCGCGGCCGGGGTGGGGCTCCCGGCCGGCTCGTGCTCCGCCCCCCTGCCCCCGCTACCCCATAGCAGAGCCTTACCCGCTGTGGGAGTAGCCCGCCTGCGGGAGAGAAAGCGCCACTCCCGCGCACCCCGCGTAGCCCGCGACTCCAAATGCTGGGCTCCCGGCCCGAAGCCGCGGTGTTGAGACCCACGGGGGAGAGCGCCGCCCCAGGACTCGCCCGGGACAGGGGTCTCTCCCTGGCCCTCCCAATCCGGAGTCTGAGTTCAGGCGGCCTCGGGCGGAGCGCAGGCGTGCGAGTCCGTGGAGTCGGTGCTCCGCGGAAGCCTCTGCGGGCGCAGGGGTGACGAGAGTGCGACGTCTGCGCTGGCACGCACGCGGGCGCAAGCGGCTGGCACCCGGCGCCAGGGCGCTCACTCCCCACCCGTCCCAGGGGGGCTGGACTCGGTCACCAGCCGGCGCCGCTCGGGAAAGCGTCTTCGAGGCAGCCCGGAGCCTCACCTATAGAAGAGGGGGAACCGGGCCCAGAGTCGGGAAGGGATGAACAAGGTCACGCTGCGTCAGTGATAGGCTCTGACGAAGGGAGATGGGGGGCAGGGGCTACCGGGTCGTCCCAGGATCCCGCTGGGGCCTCTACAGAAGACTTCCACACGGAGCCTGGCCCTTTGTGAGAGCACAGTCATGGAGGCGCCCTGTCACCACTTCCAGGGTCTGATTTGGATGCCTTCATTTCCCCCATGTCCCAGGGTTCTTTACTGGGGCTGACCGCCAGAACCTTCTTGGACTGGAAGGCCTCTGGGTTGCAAAGGCACCACCCCCACTCTGGGAACGGGGGGAGGGAGGAGGAGAAGGTCTCGTTCGGCCAGATCTGGCAGGGCAGCCAGAGCAGGGACCACAGACTGCTCAGTGCCCAGGCGTAGGGCCCTCTGCTGTTGCGTGAGCTAGCTGGAGACTGCGGTCTGAGTGCTGGAGTTCATGAGGCAATCAGATGAGATTGACAGGTGTTTGGAGATTGTGTACAAGCGTGTTTGCTTTTCCAGGCCCCGGCTAAGAGGCTGAGGGACATTTCTGCCTCGGTTTTCTTTCGTAGTTTGCAGTCTGACCCTCCTCTTAAGCTGGCTTCTCACTCCCTGAACCTCTTTCCTTTTCTGTGATAAGACCATATGTCCTTCTGTGCCAGGACAGGTCTGATTTATGCCTGTTAGTCCTGTGAAATTATTAATAGCACATCTCTTTACTTTCAAAAGTATCCTTGGGGCGCCTGGGTGCCACAGTTGGTTGGGTAGATAACTCTTGATTTCAGCTCAGGTCATGATCTCAGCGTGGTGGGATTACACTAGGACACCCCCACCCCCGTGGGCTTCACACTCTGTGGGGAGTTTGCTTTGGAATTCTCTCTCCCTCTGCCTCTCCCCCCCAACCCCCCCAAATAAAAAAATAAATCTTAAAAAAAAGTATCCTTTAAACAATATTTTATATGGTCATTGTCTCACTTAGCTTGAATTTTATCCTTCCCTTTTCCCCCAGTAGAAAAGCAAAGCCTGAGAGAAAAATTTTTGTGGAGATAGCTAGTTTTGAGTAGTGATCCCAGGAAAAGGAGTGAGGGCTTAGGAAGAATGAATAGGGGAGAAGGTAAGGGCAGCAAAGACTGTGTAACTGAGCAGGTTATTGGCACCTGGGTCAGTGATTTTGCTATGCTGAAATATATTGGATCCTAAAGCCAAGGAAAAACTTAATAATATCGATCCTATCTTTACTTAAAATTCTGATATTGTTGATCATGGATTTTTATATGGACCGATGGATTTTCAGGACCCTGAAATCATGACCTGAGCTGAAGGCAGACGTTTAACCGACTGAGCCACCCAGGTGCCCCTAGAGATACTTTTTTTCTTTTTTTTTTTTTATCACAACTAAGGAAAGTGTTACTGGCATCCAGTAGGTAGAGGCAAGAGATGCTGCTAAACATCCTAAAATGCATAGGACAGCCCCTCACAACAAACAACAATTATCTGGCCCAAAATAGTGCCAAAGTTGAGAAACCCCAATTATGGCACATAGAATGTATGGTGATTACAAGGATCATGGAGTTAAATGGCTTTTGCTAAGTGCTTTAGAGCCTTGAAAAAAGAAAATGATAGGCCCAGGGTGCCCGGGTGGCTCAGTTGGTTAAGTGACCCACTCTTGGCTTCAGCTCAGGTCATAATCTCAGGGTCATGGGATCACGACCTCGGGATGCTTTCTCTCCCTCTCTCTCTGCCCCTTCCCCTGCTCTCCCTCTCTCTCTCTCACATGTGTTCTCTCTCTTAAATAAATAAATAAATAAATAAATAAAAGCTTTAAAAAAAAACAAAGAAAATGATAGGCCTGGCTTAGCCATCTATAAACTCAAGGCACACTGTATAAACCAGGAAACCTCCATGGCAGCTCCTTAAAGAGACTCTCATTTCCTGCAGCCTCAGGGAAGGTGGTGCTGGAAATCAAACCCAGGATTTAACTGATTTAATTGAAAGAGTAGGACAGCTTCATAAAAAGGCTACATGCACAGCTTTTTTTTTTTTTAAGAGAGAGAGCTTGAGAGCATGACAGCGAGTACCTGCTCATGAGCCTGGAGGGTGGGAAGGGCAGAGGGAAAGGGAGAGGGAGAATCTTAAGCAGTCTCCACACCCGGCGAGGAGCCCAGTGCGGGGTTCGCTGGATCTCATGACCCTGAGATCACAACCTGAGCAGAAATCAAGAGTTGGTTGCTTAACCAACTGAGCCACCCAGGCACCGCTGCATGCACAGCTCTGATAGGTGTTCTATGACAAAGTCGTAGCCCTAAAAGGAAATGCATAGAATCCTGAAAGATGGAACAGAAACGTTTGGTAAATTAACTGTGAGAATTTTGAATTCCTGGATTCCCTTAAACCTTCCAGTGCAGCAGCAGCAGCTCTCTTCTCCTTCCTGAATGACAGCAACCTCTCCTTGATAGGAATCCCTCCTCAAGACTCCTCTAGAGGCAAGGGGCTCCTAAGATGATGCTTATCTTCCTCAAGATCCTCCCCTGCCCACCCCTCACCACTGCCTCCAGACCAACAACTAGGGGGAAGTCTCAGCACAGCCTCGGTGGGGAAATACAGACCCTGATCCACAAGGAAATGGCATACTCATTGGGGGAAAAAAAACAAAACAAAAAAACAGGCCCTATGTTTTGGTGGGAACAGGGGTAACATGTGGGACTTTATTAACTTAGGAGCACTCTGTCATAATGCTGGGTTTAACATCAAAGCAAGGATACAGAAAAACATATCCATTTGCTTCTGAGATGGCTCTTTGAAACTTGGACACAGTTACGGCCTATTGACATAAGCTGGAGATGCCAGAACTTTCTTGACAGAGTACAAAAAGAGTTAGAAGGCTCAGGGGGAGTGAGAGTGTTAGATTGTATTTATCATGCAAGACCAGAGAAACTATCACCAGATTGCATTCCCAAGGCAAGTCCTGAGGACACTCCCTTCTCTTTGGCAGTACAAAATGCACAGGTGAGGATTCCTAGTGTCAGTGAGGATAAGATTCTAGAATAGCAGAGGCTGGCTGGTGACACAATCAACAGAGGCAGGCTGTAGGTCATGACAAGACTGAAGTAGCAACCAGCATGCTTACGCTGGTTGCAGCCATGTGGTGATGGCTAATCGACCATAAGGTGTTCCTAGGAGTTAACTAAATGGGCAGATGACCAGGTGTTACTTGACTTGTATAAGAACCTCACCTCCAAAATAAGAGCTAGTAAGCAGAAGGCTGATGGATGCTGCCATAACGGGAAATAATATTTTCTCATTAATTTCCCAGATTTGGGCCAGTTCACAGGCTCAGAGCCTATTGATTGAAAAGGAGGCCAAGTCTCTTTAAGGAAAAAACCGCCTATACTGCCAAAAGTATATATGATAATTATTTCTCTAATCTCTTCCCACAAGGGATCTGTGGCTATCTTAGTCCGCTCAAGCTGCCATAACAAAATATCACAGACTGGCAGGCTTAAACAACAGAAATGTATTGCCCATGGTTCTGGAGGCTGGGAAGTCCAAGATCAAGGTGCTGGCAGATTCAGTTTCTCATGAGAGTCTTCTTCCTGGCTTGTAGATGGCCACCTTCTTAGGAGCTCCCTGGTGTGTCTTCTTCTAAAGGCACTAATCCCATCATAAGGGCCCCACTCTCATGATCTCATCTAAACATAATTAGTCTCCAAAGGCCCCATCTCCAAATATGGTTGAGGGTTAGGGCTTTCAGTATGAATTTAGGGGAGACACAGTTCAGTCCATAGCAACAATCTTTTACCAGAGCAACTCTGGCCCAGGAAAAGGGAAAGTCCTAGACCTTTCAAGGGCTGTTGGATTCAGAGTATGAGCTAGCCTTGCTCCCAGGGGTTGGGAAACACCATCATGGTCCCCCAGTTAGATTGGAGGTTCATGAAAGCCAGGTGGTAAACGGAGTTCTTATTCAAACAGGTCTAATTGATGTAAAGATCCATACTGTAGTGGTCCCTAAGTGTATTCCCGGTCCCTAAGTGCACAGCTGGGATAGCTAGGCTTAGTAGCTGGCCACACCCTAATATTTACTCTCTGCCCTATTAAGTAAGAGCCATTATGGTAGGTAGGGACAAATAGAAGCCTCTAACATGCCCACATTTTTGACCAATTTATTAAATCAGAAGTGATACCACATCCTGGGAGGAATTACAAAATTAGCACCAATATTGTGGATTTTCTCTTCAAAATCCTTCAGTAAGGAGAATCAAAAGCTATTTGCTTTTCTGTGGGATGAATAGCAGTACATATTCACTTTCTTTTTTTTAAGGATTTTATTTATTTATTTGAGAGAGAGAGGGAGAGAGCACAAGCAGGGGGAGTAGCAGA